TTTGTTTTGTAGTACATTTCTAAATGTTGGAACACACAAATAGATGTGCATAACCACCATCAAAATCAGAATTCAGAACAACTCCATCACCCCAGAAAACTTCCCCCTGCTGCTCCTTTATAATCAAACCTTCTCCCCAACCTCTAACCCTTGGCAACCACTGATCTGTTCTCTGTCTTCACAGTTCTTTCTTTTCCAGAATATCATATAGATAGAATCATATAGTATGTGGCCTCTTGAGATTGGCTTCTTTCACTCAGAATAACGCCTTTAAGATTCAACCAAGTTGTTGCATGTGTCAATAGTTCATTCCTATTTATTGCTGCATAGTATTCAATTGTATGGCTGTACCACAGTTTGCTAATCCATTCACTGTTGAAAGACATTTGGATTGTCTTCATTTTGGGTGATTGTGAATAGATGAATGAAACTGCTATAAACCATGAACAGGCTTTTGTGTGATCACAAGTTTTCATTTTTCCAGGGTAAATACTTGGGAGTATGATTGCCAATTCATATGGTTAAGTGTATGTTTAACTTTATAAGATATTTCCAGAGGAGTTATACCATTTTTCATTCCCACCAGCAACATATGAGAGTTGCTGCATCATCACTCTTGGTTTGCCTGCCTCATTTTTTTAAAGCCATTCTGATAGTAGTGCAGTGGTATCTTATTGTGGTTTTGATTTGCATTTCCTTAATGACTAGGGACCTTAAGCACCTTTTCATGTATTTATTTTTTATCATATATCTTCTTTGCTGAATTGTCTGTTCAACTATTTTGCCCAATTTTTAAAAAGCTAAATTGTTTGTTTTCTTACAGTTTATTTTTAAATAACAGCTTTTTTGAGAAATTATACATATACCATACAATTCACTTTTTAAAGTGTACAATTCAATGGTTTCTAATATATTCCCATAGTTGTGAAACCATCACCATAATCAATTTTAGAATATTTTCATCACCCCAAAAGAAATTCTGTGCCCATTAGCAGTTACTCCTCATTTGCCCCAGACTCTCCAACTCTACATAGCCACTAATTTACTTTCGGTCTATAAATTTGTCTGTTCTGGAAAATTCACATAAATGGAATCATAAAACACGTGGTCTTTTGTGTCTGGCTTCTTTCAGTTAGCATAATGCTTTTGAGGTTCATCCATTGTAGCATGGATAAATACTTCATTCCTTTTTGTTGCTGAATAATATACCACATTTTGTTTATCCATTTATCTGTTGATGGACATTTGAGTTGCTTCCAGTTTGTGGCTATTATGAATAACGCTGCTATGAACATTTTGTGTACAAGGTTTTCTGTGAATATACATTTTGATTTCTCTTGGTTATATACTTAGGAGTGGCATTGCTGGATCATAACTCTATATTTAACCTTTTGAGGAGCTGCCAAAATGTTTTCCACAGCAACTGCACCATTTTACAATCCTACCAGCAGTGCAGTAGGGTTCCAGTTTCTCTGCATCCTTGACAATACTTGTTATTATCTTTTTTATTCTAGCCATCCTAGTGTGTGTGAAAGTGGTATGTCATTGTGGTTTTTCATATCACTGATGACTAATGATACTGAGCATCTTTTCATGTGCATTTTGGTCATTTGTATATCACCTTTGTAGACATGTCTTTTCAGGTCCTTTGCCAATTTTATTATTTTTTTAATTAATTAATTTTTTTAATATGAACAAGGTTTTATTGACACACACACATATATATATATATATGTACATAAAGCTGGGAAAGAGAAGGACCCATTGAGGCAAATGCATAGGGGGAGAGAAAGCATCTGAAAACAGCAGTGGGCATCCTGCCAGTTCCAAGTCTAGGGAAAACTGGCTGGGAGCTTTGGTCGGCCCAGTTAGCAGTGAAGCCAGGGATGGCACAGTGGATGATACATGCAGCTCTCTTCCATTCTCCTAACTGGAACTTCTCAAGTCTGGTGTAGCTCTGAAGTGGGCTCATATGCTCCACACCCTCCAACACACACACACACACACACACACACACACACACACACACTTGCACACCCCTGAGGTGTGGTCCTCCGGCTTGCTGTAGGAAGAGAGGAGGTTAAGTTTCACTTAAAGGGGCTGAACCGCTTTCCAGTAAGGCAAAGTCCATTCATGGTTACATACAGTTTGCAGAATAAGATCTGCTCTTCATTTGTTGAGTTTCTTCACAGAAGAAAGGAATTCGCTGACGGCTCCTATGAAGCCCTGGGCAGGTTATGAGGCTGCCAGACTCCTATGAGCACAGGCACATCCATAGCACAGGCTATCCCCCATGGCACCACCTGGGTTTTGGCCAGGGGGGGACCCAGGTGCTTTGTATGAATGAGGCACCAGAAGTGTATCCAGTCACAGCAGGTGTGGTGCTGTCCCCCATGGCCCCCGCCCTGTTCTCTGCACAGATGGGTTCCAAGTCTGATGGCAGTTATTGACACAGGGTCTCCCAGCACCGGTGAGATGTTGTGCCCTCCATCCGCACCACCTGTGTATTGGCCAGGTGGGTCCCAGTTGTGAGCGGGAATACCAGGTCCTCCAATCATGGGAATGATGTTGTTCCCTCCTATACGACCACCACCTGGATTGTGAGCAGGTGGGCCCCTTGTGTTTGGAAATAAGGTAGAACTAGAAGTGTGCTGAAACCCACGGGTGGTACCCACGCTTGCAACTCCAACAGATGTGGTGTGCTCTGATGGAAGGTGGAAACTGACATGTCCCTTGACACAGATTTCTTCTCCTTGGTGACGGAACTTTTAAATGTAGATTTTCTAGGGCTTTTCCTAGGTGCGGCGAGCGAAGCCTACTCTTCGTTGTGGTGCATGGTCTTCTCATTGCGGTGGCCTCTCTTGTTGCAGGGCATGGGCTCTAGGCTCACGGGCTCAGTAGTTGTGGCTCACAAGCTCCAGAGCACAGGCTCAGTAGTTGTGCCACATGGGCCCAGTCGCTCCGCGGCATGTGGGATCCTCCCGGACAAGGGCTCAAACCCATGTCCTCTGCATTGATAGGTGGACTCCCAACCACTGCGCCACCAGGGAAGCCCTGGAACTTTTAAACATAGATTTTTTACGTCCAGATGGGCCCTGTGTGCAGTGACGGAAAGTGGCCTCCAATCGTGGGGATGGGGTTTTCCCCTGCCATCACCGTACCACCTGTATTCAGCCTAGGTAAGCCCCAGGTATTTGGATTTAGGTGGAATCAGGTATGTTCCCAAATGCTGGGATGGTGCCTGCCCCTCCTACTGCAGCAGCCTTGCTGTGGTCAGGTAGATTGCAGGTTGTCTGGCCCAAAGTAGGAACAGAAGCGGTGCTGGGTGCCCCACTTAGTCCTGCCCCAAAGTTAAGTGGTCTGAATGCCTCTGAATGAGTGAGGCCTGGGGCTGACACACCGACTCCAAGGCTCCCACCAGCCATAGGGGCTGCAGGTCCCATGAACGTGGGCCCAGTGTGGTATCGGCAAACGGCCAGCTACTGTCCCCAGTACTGGGCATCCTGGTGGCAACTCCAAAGCCAGTAGCAATGGACACAGTCCTAGGGAGAATGCCAGGGTTGTCGCCAAAGGCCGGCTGCGTGTTGCTGGTGGTGGCGAATAGGGGAGCTGGCAAAGCTGACTGCATGATGCTGACTCGTGGTGGCTAGGCTGCAGGAGCGACTAGGACTTTATCTTGTGCTGAGGCTGCTGGATTTCCCAATAGAAAATAATCATTAGGCCTCTGCCCATCGTTAGCCCCAAATGTAGCCTGAGACAGGAGACCTGGGTCCAAGAGAAGCTTGAACTGTTGGTCTATCTGTTGGCCGATGTTGCAGGTAAATGAGTTGAGGCATGGGCTGAGGCATTGCTACCACTGGATGGTGTGTTCCCAGAAATAGGAACAGCCGTGTGAAATGGGTAGTGGTTCTACCTGGAGACAGGGCAGACTGGAAAATGACAGCCTAAGAAGGAGGTATGGTGTCCATAGCTTTGGTATCAGAGGTGCTGCCTACTGAAGCACCGATGAGGCTGAAGCCATAAATGGGGGGCTGGGGAAAACAGGAGCACCAGGGAGAGAGGCCCTCTGCTGCCCATCAGCGGTCCCAAATATGGACTGAGGGTTGGTTTTGGGACCAAAGGGATGGTTAAAAATTGGGGTGGCACAGGGGACCATCGGCACAGGTCGTGTGATGGACAATGGTACCCCTGCAGGGTGCCTCTGCTCCATCCTGAAACCTGGTGGAGACCTAAAGATGACAGCTTGGGAAGGGGCAGTAGTGTCCATGTCAGTGACATCAGGATCTACAGTAGGCTGGAAGGTCAAACTTCCAGATACCATGACCATGCTAGTGGAAGGGATTGCCGTAGAAGTCATGGGCTGCCCAGTTAAAATAGGGGGATTGATGGTAGGGACTGTAAGAGGGGTAGGTAAGTGTAAAGGAGGGGTAGAATCTACACAAATGGGTGTTGGGGGTTCCTTTTCATGTGATGGTGGCTGGAAGGAGAAAGCTGGGATGCTAGGAGGTGTGGGGAGGTCAGAAATAAGAGGTTTTGTGGCTGTGACTGAATGAAAAGGGCCTTCATTCTTAAGTGGAATTCCCAAAATGGGATCAGAAGCTGAAGGAGGAAGAGAGTCAGCAGCAATAGCAAGAGGAGGGGACTTAGGGACTGTGTATCTTGTTTCCTGATCAATATTAGGTGTCAGGGAAGGTGGAGGGAAAGACAGGTTGGGGGACCTGAAATATAGGTCGGCCAAGTCGGTGGTAGTAGCAGGGACCTCCCAGGGGTGAGTGGCCGGGGGCAGGGAGTCTGCAGTCTGTGAGGCAGGTGGGGAGAGAGAAGGGGCAGGCTGAGGGGCACTGCAGTCTTCCTTGACCTTCCTTATATTATTCAGGATCTTGTTCCACTGACGCTCAGTGTTCTTCTCCAAGGTGCTTGGGTTTGGGGCAAGAGCTAAGCACGGAAGCTTAGGAGGAGGGACAACTCACCTCGATCCCATGTCAGTGGCAGGGGTGACCTCAGCCCCGGCAGCGGCAGAAAAAGTGGCAGGGGAGTCTACTGCTGGTAGATACCAGGGAAGGGGAGCTCCTTGATGGGATGTCTGAACATTTTTCACACTGTGTCTCCTTCCCAGACATCAGTGAGCCTGATGAGCTGGGCCGGTGGTCTTCACCCAGCACTTGGCCTCTCCAGAAGCAGGGAGCAGTGTGCAGCTGGGGCAGAGAACACCATGGCATGGGATTCAGGCTTCCAAGGAGGCAGGACATCTCCAGCATCTCCATCTGAGCGGATGACATGGCTTTCTAAGGAGGAGCTCACTGGAGACATCTGGGCGTTCTCACTCAAGTTGTCTTCTGAGTGCTCGGGAAGGAGGTCCAGAGGCTCAGGATTGCACTTGAGGGAAGTGAGGACTCCACTGGTCTCCTGGGGCCTAGATGTCAATGGTATATCCCCGTTGCTATGGTGGCCCCTCTTCCGA